GCATTAAGTCCTCTCATCATCTTCAATTGTTCCTCGAGATCACGAAATCCTTCCTTGATTTTTGCAACTCTAGGATCACTCCCCTTTATCATAGGGTGGACATTATGAGGATTTGTCATATACCGTGGAAACCTAGAATCTCTTTCATCAACTTGAACAACCAGGTTATCTTGTACATGCTGAGAATAAGTAGGAACATCCACTTGTGGAGCATTACCGTCAAGAGGAAACTCAAACATCGGGTTAGTCATCACTCTGAAGCCTGACATGGGATCCATATTCCATGTCCTCTTCATTATCCTTTAGTAACTACTTCAAGCTTGGTTTGAATGTCAGAAAATCAGCTGAGTGACACAAGGACAGAAGGCCAAATGAGTTGTTTATGAAAAGTTGTATGCAAATGATGCAATGCTACATGATGTAAGTTGTGCAAAATGCAAATGCATTTCAAAGAACTCAAAATTTATATTTGAAAACACCATAAAGTGGATGACACTTTTAATAACTGAAAATGTCTCATTTCATTAAAAATTTGAAGGATTACAAAATAGAGTACAACTTCCACAATCCATGGTAAAACCTATGACGTTCGCAACATAACTCTAAGTTCTTTGAAAAAAGGTTAGAAAAATGGTGCACGAATGCATGGATGTATGCACAAACACATGTATACACATACTCACATACTCACATATATACATGCAAATAAACAAGGGCCTAGGTTTGAAGATCACGAGCATGGAGCCATGGTCTACACATCCCAAAGGTATGTACTGTGGGTTTATTTGTACCTGTAAAATGGGTTCTACACAGTTCCCAAAGTCATTAGTCCATATTTCAAATATTATCAACTTCCTGATTACTCGGTAATTAATAATATTCTCAAGAGAACCTCTTTTGAGTGTAGCATCACGTATCAACTATCTTGGGAGTACTCCCTCATGATCACCACGCTACATCCTAAGAAGGCAAAGGTGGGGTTAAAGGTAACTAAAGGTCTTCAATGTCATGGGCTCCTAGGTCAAAAGTAGTAATATTTTCACGAATACTCATTCAACAAATACTACTCCTAAGAGGGCCTCAACTGAGTGGTGATTTCTCAAATTAGCTTGGTCGGGAATCAACTCCCTATAAGCCTTCTTGAATGTATCACCATCCTATCATAAGTGCACTCAAGTTCAGGTTAGGACTTATCTCACAACAGTATGTAGCAACTCAAGCATATACAAATATACAAATATACAGATATACAACAAATAACACATATCAAACAAGTTAGGGGTAACCCTCGAAAGAGTATCCCTAGTGAAGTAGCCATTTCTGTCGCGGTGAGAATTAGATATCAAAATATTGATTAACTTGAATCACAAATCTTAATTCACCACCGATCTTAATTTATCCAAGGGAAGGGAAAAAGAACGAATAAACCCATAAATATGCAATGCAATGCAAAAGAGAATCTAAGGTTCGGGGGTTGGTTATACCTAGGGAAGGTGCTAGCATCCTAAGTATCTGTAGTACCCTACAGGAACCTCTTGTTTTATTGTGTTATTTATTATTTTTTCTGCTAAAGGGTGAAAAGGTAAAAGGGAGACCTAAAGTGTTATTTCTAAGTACGCTCACCAAGACATCGCATCCCATGCCTACATATTCTGACAGGAATGGTATTAGAGCATTCATAGTTTCCCTCACTAAGGATACACAAAGTTTGTTGGTTGGTTTTTAGGAGAAGAGACATGTTGTCATCTTAAGGAGAATACTCAACTTAAACCACCACAAACATGTGAAAGATGTATATTTGCTTCACATTAATAGAAGGGCTCTAACTCGGATATAGAATCGACGAGTATGTCACATACCTTTCTCAAGTGGAAAAGAATCTACATCTTTCTCAACTATGTCACGGGGTAGGAGAATTATATCTCGACTAAGGATGACTCATGTCTAATTCTCTCATGGGAGAAAAAGGAACCTAATTGTAGATTGTCTAGTTAACATTCGAAGGGAACTAACCTAATTCTATGAATCTAAAAATAAGATTGAAGGGGAGAGCTATCTTATTGTTATCATGCAATAATTGATCCTAATGTCTAATATTGATTCAATTTATCAAAGACAAAGTCAAATCTAGAACCTAAGGGGACTTGGAGATCCAAATCATATAGGCATGTCAACCATCCACAAGTAAATTGACAAGTAACTAATCACGGTTAATCAAAATTTTAATTAAGATTCACTAAAAAGCTAATCAATCAATTAGAATTTTAAAAACTTCAATTAACCCATTAAAAATTTAATTAATCAAAATTAGGACTTTTAATTAATAATAAAACTAATAATTTAAAAAAAAATCTAAATAAATCAAAAGGGTGTAAAAAAATACCATGGATGTGTAGCTTTTTTTTAAAAATAAAACATGGGGTGTGACACCAAGTTAGACATTAACCTAAGATCCATTAACAAAAACCTTAATTTTTATCATATAATAATAATAACTAAATAAAAAGTTAAAGTTTAAAAAACAATAAAAAAAATAGAAAAAAAAATATAGAAAGAAAACGACACCGTCCCTTTTTTTCTCTGTTTAATAACAAGATTAAAAAAATTAGAGCTTAATCAAATGTTTTTTTTTTACTTTTTCAAAATTTAATATACTATCCAATGACATCTTGACATGTGTTCTTATAATAAAATAAAATAAAAATACAGTTAAACCGAGGAAGCTTCATTTCAAATTTATTTTCTTCAATCTTTCTCATTCGATCTCAATGCTCTCTACCTCTCAAACCAATATTTTTAAAAGAAAAATCACATAGATTCCTGGCACATAATTGCTAAATAGTCATAACAACTAGACAGGTGATAACATAAATTAAAGTAAGCACCCAACGAAAACAGAGAAGAGCACGAGTTACTGAAATCGAAGTGTCGCAACGACATGAGCTTGTTACGTGGAATCAAGTCAGATCTGAGCGCAAAAGAGACATCGATTGATGCATGTTGGCGGAGTCTTGATGGAGTGCAGCATCAAAGAGGTTGCGATCGATTCTCGGTGGCGATTACGTGGGTGACTCCAGAAGTGGTGCGACGATGGAGCTCATGATTCTAATTTCCTTTTGCTCTTCCTATTTTCTTTGAATCCAATCTCTTGTTGTTTTGAATTTTGTTTGTGTATCCTTTGTTTTTTTTTTCTAATACATATATATAGGACTAAAAAATAGATAAGAATGATAATAATAATTAACACAATGTTTTTTTGTTTTTTTATAATAAGACAAGAATAAAAAGAATTAAAAATAATATTTTCTGTTTTTTTATGATAAGACAAGAATAAAAGTAATTAAAAATCGTGTTTTTGTGCTTTTTATAATAAGACAAGAATAAAAAGAATTAAAAATGATATTTTTGTGTTTTTTTAAAAAGAAAAAATTAATAAACAAATTAAAAATAAAATTAATTAATAAAAATAAAAATTTAAATTAAATATCTAATAAAATCTAAATAAATTAAATGATTGTTTAAATAAAAATGATTAAAAAATAAAATAAAAAGTCGGGCAGAAAAGTGCTCGAAAAAATAAAATGAACACACCAAAATAATTAGCGCGAAATAAACATGTTGAAAAAATACAACGTTTGCTCAGAGAGTGGTAAGGCTCTAATGTAAGTGTAGTAGAGATGAAGATGTTGCGTTGGATGTGTGGTCATGATAAATATAGAAACAAAAACATTAGAGAGAGTGTTGGGTAACACCTATAGTATTGAAGACGGTGGAAAATATACTTAGATGGTTTGGACACGTAAAGAGAAGACATGTAGATCCTGTAGTGAGGAGAGTAGATCAGATGGAGAGAAAAGAAACAATTCGAGGAAGAGGAATCCCTATAAATATTATAAGAGAAGTTTTTAAGAAAGATCTCGAGATTAATAATTTGGATAGAAGTATGGTCTTTGATAAAATATTATGGCGAGAGTTGATCCATGTAGTCGATCCCACCTAAGGGGGATATGACTTTGTTGTTGTACTTTATTATTTAGTTTTGATAATTTAAAATATTAAATACTCTCTATGATCCTATTTATAAGAGAAATTTGATTTTTTAGATTCATTAAATAATCAATGTATATGGTCTATTATACCATATTGATTATTCAATAAATTTAAAAAATAAATTTTTTCTTATAAATAAGACCAAAAGAAATATATGATTAATTATTTAATATTTTAATTTGTACTTTATTATTTGAAATATTTAAAATATTTGTATAAATTTTTTTTTAAAATTTTTTAATTTTATTATCTATTATATAATTTTATGTTTGAAAAATAAATATTTTTATTAAAAAAAATTAATTTTACTACATAAATCTTGACAAATATATCCATATCTACTCTTTATCTCTTTGTTAGAGTTAAATGGTAGGCAACTGAGATTTAAGATTGAGTGTAGAGAAAGTAACAACCATCTCCCTGACCCGCTCTATTGCCATTCCTATTAATATGCCCGCTCTTAACACCACATTCTCTTTTAAATTCAAAATTAAAATCATACGAATATCCATTGATGTTTTGATACACTTAATAAAACAAAAGGATGAATTAATTTAAAAAACATGTTATACAATAAAATGTGATAAAAAAAGTATATACAACAAATCACAATAGAAGAAACACGGTTAGACAAATGTTTTATTGCCTATCTTTCTACTAAACATGTAATTATCGCCACAAAAATAAGCTCCCAAAAATATCAAAAAGATAATAATAATTAACATTTACTTGTTTTTTTTACAGACAATTATGCCTGGACCAGTAATCTTAAAGCTTTTGAAAGAAAAAAATAAATAAATTTTAAAACTTAGAATGAACAAGATCAACTCAAAATTAGATATGATACAATTAACTCGTTGAACTTAAATCATAAACTAATGAGCTGAAAATTAAACTTGATAAATAAAATAATCAAACTCGAGCTATGTATAATTCAATTGGCTCGTGAATTAACCAACTTTCTGAATCACATCATTTGAAACAGAAACTTCACTTCTTATCTCAGATGATTTAGAAAACAGCATTCGATACATAGGCGCTCCGCGCTCTAAAACGTGTTTTTCCCAATCTGACTTAACTCCAAATGGATTTTCATCAAGCCAATAATCACTTTGGCCATGCTCCATAACAAGCTTATTCTTGCTATATCTCGAAAACTGCTCTTTCATTCTCATTGCTACTTCTTCTACATCAGATTGCAAAAAGACCTGATCAATGAATACAAGTTGAAGTAAGTCGTAAGTCATTGCTCGACACAACAAGTTGTCAATCGTGAATCACAGAAAATGTTGTATGGTTACCTTTCCGCCAGATGATAGAAGATCCACCACTGCTTCGATTAAAGATCTTTGCAGCATTCTCCATCTATGTTCAGGTTTATTGAAATCAGGATTTGGACACTGCAAACATAAAAGAGAACTACATCAATGAAGACGTATACATGGCAGAATTAACGACAGAGAAGAAGATAACGGCCGAAAGTACCTGTATTGATACAAGAACTAACTCTCCTGGGTAAGAAGAAACAATTGAACGAAATGTCGATGTTGCATTAGTAGCAATGAAATGCCTGAAAATAGAATAGATAAATAAGTCAGGAAAGCAAAGCTTAGAAAGTTAAGCAAACTGTTGAAAGCAACAGCATTACCCATTCTTTATGCCGAACTGTTGAATAGAATCAAGACAGCGCAAAACTAGCTGCAAAATATAGTAATGGTTTAAGTAAAAAAACAAGATAAGCACCGTGAGTAGCAAAAACGGTTAGGAACAAGTATGGAACCTTTTCGTTCATTTCCAAACCGAGAAAGTTCAAATCCTTCCTCTTTCTTGCCATTTCGAAAAGAAAAAGTCCGTTGCCTGTCATTTAGAGATCAAATGTTAGTGTTCGAAAATTAGATATGCGCATGATATGTATTATTACATATTGAAAAACCAAAGTACCACTTCCGATATCAACCACAAGAGATTGAGTTGGGTCCGAGTAAACATTGTTCCACTTGATTTCAAAAGGGTATGCCTGCAAAATGTGACTACCATAAGACTGAAGCAGAATTTTTCATACTTTTGTAACAGCGAGTTCGATTGCTTAAAGCATACTCTATCAACGGCCATAACACCAGGGAGTTTTCTTCCTTTGAGAAATTCCCATACTACCGAAGCATTCTCAACCATGTTTATAGATGATAGCGAACTTGTTTCTTGTGTCACAAGATTGCATGCTGTAGTCCCAACAACAGTTGTTTCACAGTTTCCTTTGCTTGCTTGATCAAGAATTTTCGCCAACTTAGATGCTCCTTTTGTTTGTTCACTTCCATCGGCAAATTTCACTGGACCAATCCAAATTATTTTCTGTAATTGATTCAAAGAAAAAAGTGAGACGGTTCATTGTGACATTTTAAAATTGAAGCATAGACCATTATCAATTGTGGATATCAGAAAATATGTGCATTGTTCAAATTCTGCAACACTTTGTACTAAACATCATACCGCAGAAGGTTCCAAATCGCGCAACTGTTAAGTAAATTACTATTTTACCTTACAATCTGAAAGCAAGGAACTAATTTCATCCAATGTTATAGGTCCAAGGTCAATAGGCACCCAACCTAGAACAAAGTTCAATATGAATCAAATTTATTTGCTGAATAAGACAATGAATTTAGCAATTTGAAAAATATCTCACCATCCAAAATTCCATGAGAAGGAAAAACCTGCAATTGCCTTGGATTATATTTATTCCTGCACCATAAATCTTTTGGATACAATATCTTCACATTGTTATCGCAAGCGAGTTTCAATATCTCTAGAGCCTCCGTCAATGCTTTATGATCGACAAAATCAATGGGAACTTGTACTCCTAATGCATGCATTATTTGAAATGACATCATTCCAACGAAAACAAAACCTTGGCATCTGGAGGCTAAAAACCGAAAGGATGCTGCTTTCTCGGCAAGATTACCCCCTCCAATCTGAATTTTATGATAAACAAACGGTGAATAACTTTATCGATACGAGAATTAGAGTCTATCTTGAAGAGTTATTTCTTGCTATAGCAACAGAAGAAGCATACAATTGCTACATACGGTTTCTTGTTGGTTTCTGCTAAATTCTTCACGAGACGAAGGTTCTCTTCAAAGTGAAATCCAGCTAAACAAGCATAGCAGAAACGAGTAACACCAACAGTTGATGCTAGAACTTTATGAGAGTTCGAGAAGGAATCGTTGACAAAGATATCAACTCCTGTCGATAATACTCTAGAAAACTCCAAACAATTAGCAACTTCGTATTTGAGATTATAAAGATTCTCAATAAGATAGATATTCTCTTTATGGAGGAGGTCTTTAATCTTTGATAGCTTGTTACAAGAAATGCCTTGCAGTGGAACAACTTGAATTTGGAGAATTCCTGATAAGAAATCTACCACATAGAGATAATCATTTCTCTAAAATGGAAGCTCAAACCAACACAAGGATTGCAAGAAAGACTTCAAAAAGGTACCTACCTGCAACTGATTGTGAGTGAAGTTGTAAAGTATTTGTGCTCCAATCACTGACTAGAATGACTTTTGATTCAATTTCATGTAAATATTGAATTGTAAACAGTGCATTAAAATCTGATTGATTCTTCTGGTTATGCTTTTGCTTGAGCAATATGTTAGAATCAAATCTAACCATGACAACTTTTCCAAAAAGCTCCTTCCTAGGAAATTCTCTAAGAGTTTGTATATGAGGAATTCCATTCAACTCTCCTCCATTATTAGCGTAAACCTAACAGTAAAACATAATATTTAGAGCCACAGAAAAAATATACAACTAACAACACATCATTTCGTTAAGAATATACAACTAACCACCACTATTTGATCATACTTGGATCAGAAGTTACATATCACCCTAGCCCTTCATAATTGAATTAAACTTCAAGGCAGTGAATCATTATTTGGTCTAAGAAAAGAAAGTGAAAGCATCCAAATGAGAGTCACAACAATATTTCCTCTTATCCTTAAGAACAATTATCAGAAACAAGTTGCTAAAAAATGTTACAAATCTGTCACATTTTGAAAAGAGCACCAAAGAGACTTGTTCTGGACTGCTCGCAAGGCCCAAAGCGACAGGCCCAAGAGTGCCATCTGGCGGTAAAGCGCATGGAACAGGTGATCCCTCATTCCTCTGGGAACAGGCAATTCTACTCTCTAGACGCGTCAATCACCATCTGATTAGATCTAACGACTACCCGCATAACGCGCCTCACCTCACGCGGACGGTTTTGACCGCTCTCATTATATAAAGAGAAAAGCATGTCATTTCAGGTATTAAAACCCATTATGACTCTCACACTACTTATTCTCTCACTGACTTAGGCATTAGAGTGTTAACCTTGCAGGTTATCACCTCTTCCACCACACTGAAAGCACAAATTCACCGTAGCAAGGCATTACCTCATCATTTCACCAATCATTTCTAGTTCTGAACAAAACAAGAACCTATCACAGACACATAGATTATGTCCCTTTTATCCATGCATTATGCATGTTTGTTTTTTATTTCTTCCCCTTCCACCATTCATTTCTTACATGTTCACTTCTCTCACTTATCATAGCAGAGAAAAAACAATCAAAAGAATTGTTCACAGACCCCTCTTAATTACGTTGGATGTGAGAAAGTGGAAAATCGAGTTTGTGCAATTATGACAAAACCACTTAATCATAGAATAGAACATGAGATAGTAGCACAAAAAGGCCTATAAACTATATTACCTTATGGTTGAATGAGTTGGCAACATCACCTGCGAACTCTCCATTACCTGTAAAAAATAACATCAAGTAAAACACAAACATGGACAACAACATATGGAGAATTTAAAAAAAATAAAACATAAGTAAAATCAAAACAACCTTGCATAGCCAATAAGACAGCATTATTGTATTTTTGAAACTTGGTAACATTTGGAACATAAGAACATGTTTTATGTTTGAGCAACTTGGGGAAGTCAGAGAAAGATGAAATGTTTAACAAGAGTGGTTCATAGAGAATATTCATAACGTCAAATTCACAAGATTGAACCTGCACCATGTGAGAATGGTAAAAACATGATTACAGTTTGAAATTCTTCAATGTTACTAACGTTGTTGAGTTGTAGGTTTTTGTGTGTAGAAAATAGTTTGAAGTAGCAATGAAGTATGAAGGAACAAGAAGAAGCAACAGATATATTGGAAGTGAAAATCACCTTACAACGTGGAACTTGAAACTTCACAGAACAAGTGGAGAAGAAAGAAGATAAACCGATATCTAGAGGTAACAATAAAATCTATTAAAGTAATATCCATTCAATTCATCTAAAAATTAATCCATCAATTTAACAAAAACTTTTTTAATAAATTAGATTCAATGATCATATTTTATTTTAATTTTCTTTTTAAGTTTACCAAAAATAAAAGTTATTTAATTTCTTACAACAATTTTGTTGGTGCAAAGGTGAATAAATGATGAACAAAGAAAGGAAATATTCTATTAAGAATGACGGCTACAAAACATGATAATAGTTACAATGATTGTCACCCTATTTATAAGCTAAAACTAGGGTTACTAGAATAAGATAAAATACTAAAATACCCTCTAACAAACTTAGGGGCTAAGAAAAATAGTACAACTAAATAAATATGAATTACTATTAATATTCTAATACCATCCCTTAATTCATATTCCATCAAAACTTGTAACACCAATTTCATCCCTTAGTCTGAGAAATTGATCAGTCTTGATAGCTTTCGTCAGAACATCTGCCAACTGCTTCTGAGTGCTGCAGTGTACAACTTCTAACACTCCACTCTGAACTTGATGTCTCAGAAAATGATACTTGGTCTCAATATGCTTGCTTCTCCCATGCAACACTGGGTTTCTGGCAAGATTGATTGCACACTTATTGTCAATCATCAACTTCAGAGGTTTGTCTACTTTAATCTTCAGATCCTGCAACAGATTCAGAATCCACACAGCTTGGCATGCAGTAACAGCACCTGCAATGTATTCAGCTTCACAGGTTGACAACGCCACAACAGGTTGCTTCTTGGAACACCAAGAAATGGAACCTCCCAGAAATTTGAACAAGTACCCAGATGTACTTCTTCTGTCAACTCTGTCTCCACACCAATCAGAGTCTGAATAACTCAGAAGTTCTGACTCATTATTTCCTCCAGAGGGAAATAACACTCCATACTTCAGAGTTCCTTTGATATACCTCAGAATCCTGACAGCAGCTTGATAATGGGACCACTTAGGTTTACTCGTGAACCTACTAACCATCCCAACTGAGTAGCAAATATCAGGTCTGGTATTGCACAGATACCTCAGAGAACCAACCAACTGTTTGAAGGTTGTAGCGTCCACATCCTTTCCTTCAGAGTCTGAATCCAGTTTCTGATTTGTATCAGAAGGTGTGACAGCCATCTTACAATTCTTCAGATCAAATCTCTTTAGAAGTTCTAATTCATACTTGAGCTGATGCAAAATGATACCTTTCTCAGAATATCTGAACTCCATCCCTAGAAAGTATGTCATTTTGCCTAGATCAGTCATTTCAAATTCATTCATCAGAACTTTCTTGAACTTGACTATCTCCTGTTCAGAACTTCCAGTCAGCAGTATATCATCAACATATAAACATACCAGAGTCATATTGCCTTCAGAAGTATGCTGAACATAGACACCGTACTCCATCTCACATTTCTGAAAGCCTTGCTTCTTGAAAAATGAATCAATCTTCTGATTCCAAGCTCTGGGCGCTTGTTTCAATCCATATAGAGCTTTGTGTAATCTGTACACCATCCCTTCCTGATTCTTTTTCACAAATCCAGGAGGTTGTGACACGTAAACTTCTTCTTCTAATGGACCGTTCAGAAATTCAGATTTTACATCTAAATGCATCAGAGGCCAATTCATGTTAGCAGCTATTGCAATCACCATTCTGATTGTTTCATGTCTTGCTACAGGTGCAAACACTTCAGAGTAATCCAGCCCAGGTTTTTGTAGAAATCCTCTGGCTACCAACCTTGCTTTATGTTTGCCAATTGAGCCATCTGGCTTTAACTTCTGCTTGAAAACCCATCTGACGCTGATGGCTTTCTTGTCTTTTGGAAGTTCTGTCAGCTTACAAGTCTTGTTTCTCTCTATAGCATCAAGTTCTTCTTTCATGGTCTTCAGCCAGAGCTTCTGCTTAAGAGCCTCTTCTGTACTTATGGGTTCAGAGTCTACTAACATGGCACGCTGAATAACTTCTCCTTCAGAGTCTACTTCAGTGTCTTGCAGCATGTCAAATTCTGCAAATCTTCTGGGAACGCTTCTGATTCTTTGTGGTCTCTGAACTTGTTCAGAGTCTTGGGCTTCAGATGATTGACTTTCTCCAGAGCTTTGACCAACTTCAGGATCTGGCATATTTCCAGAGTCTTGAACTTCATAATTTCTAGCTTCAGAGGCTTGACTTCCTCCAGAGCTTTGACCATCTTCAAGATCTGGCATATTTTCAGAGTCTTGGCCATCTTCAGAGTCTGAATTGCCACCAGAATCTGGATTACCATCAGAGTCTGGATCATCAGAGTCACCTTCATCTTCTGAGTCTTCTCCAGAGTCAGAATCACTATCAGAGTCAGAATCAACGTCAGAGTTTACTTCAACTTCAGAAATTCTTAACTCTGACCTTTCTTCAGAAGTTCTAACATCAGAATCAGATTGAGACTTATCCCAATTCCAAACTTCTAATTCCTTCACAATCACATCTCTGCTGAATTCAATTTTGTTGGTTTCTGGACAATAGAGCTTGTATGCACCTGTACTGTGGTACCCTATCAGAATCATCACTTTGCTTTTATCATCCAGCTTCTGTCTTCTAGCTTCTGGAACATGTTTATAGCAAACAGAACCAAACACCTTCAGATGACTAACACTTTGCTTGTCTCCAGTCCACTTCTGCATAGGAGCTATTTCCTTCAACTTCTTCGTAGGACATATGTTGAGTACATACGTTGCAGTGGCAACAGCTTCTCCCCAGAGCTTCTGAGGAAACTTCTTCTCCTTTATCATGCTTCTCACCATATCAAGCAAAATACGGTTTCTTCTTTCAGCAAGACCATTGTGTTGAGGGGTATAAGGAGCAGTAACCTCATGCTCAATTCCATTCTCCTCACAGAACTTCTGGAACTCTTTGGATTTATACTCACCTCCACCGTCAGTTCTAAGAATCTTCAACTTCTGACCACTCTGATTCTCAGCCTTCATTCTGAATTTCTTGAATTCATCAAACACCTCGTGTTTGAACTTAATAAGGGATACCCATGTCATTCTTGTGAATTCATCAACAAATAACACAAAGTATTTATTCCCTCCAATTGATGCTACTGGAAATGGACCACACACATCAGAATGTACAACTCCCAAGGCATGTTTTGCTCTTGGAGCAACTTCTGACGCAAATGGCAAACGTGGTTGTTTTCCTTCCATGCAAACTTTGCATGACTTCTCAGGCTTCTTAATTGCAGGAATTCCATGTACCAGCTTCTTTGAATTCAGATGTTTTAGGCTTCTGAAATTCAAATGACCAAATCTTTTGTGCCACAACTCACTCTCCTTCTCAGCACATGTTGCACTAAGACATTCTGAGTCTGCAGTTCTGACATTCACCTTGAATGTTCTATTCCTTCCCTGTTCTGACTCCATAATCAACTTCTGATTGTAGTCATACAGCTTCAGAAGATTGTCCTTCATGGTAACTGAAAAACCTTTCTCAATTAATTGTCCCACACTCATCAGATTGCTTCTGATGCCAGGTACATACCACACGTTCTGAATCAATGCTGTTTTCCCATTGTTCAGAGTCACTCTGACATTTCCCATACCTTCTGCATTAAGATATTTGTCATCAGCACATCTGATCTTTGTCCTCTTTTCAGAGTCAAAGTCAACCAGCCATTTCTTGTTTCCAGTAAGATGATTTGAACAGCCAGTGTCCATATACCACCAGTCTGTCAGATCATCAGATTCAAAGGCCATCAATAGCACAGATTCGTCATCAGAACTTCTGGCTATATTTGCTTCTTCTGATTTTCTCTCCTTGTTTGACCAACAATCTCTAGCAAAGTGAACAAACTTCTTACAACAGTAACATTGGATCTTCTTCTTGTCATACTTCTCTTTTCCCTTCTGAGCATTCTTTTGTCTATCAGAGGTTGAGCTTTCTGACTTCTGACCACCATCAGATCTTCTCCTGGCTTCTGACTGCTTCTGATACCTCCTATCAGAAGTTGCTTTCAGAGCCTGCTGCTCTACTTCCCTTTCAGAAGTTCTTTCAGTCAAACGCAACTCTTGCGCTTCTAAACTGCTCTGCAGCTCTTCAATTCTCATGGTACTCAGATCTTTGGAATGTTCTATTGCTACCACAATGTAATCAAATTGAGAGGTAAGGGATCTCAATACCTTCTCCATGATTGTTTCTTCAGAAAGAGTTTCTCCACACGCCTTCATCTCATTAGTGATCAGAATCACTCTGGAGATGTATTCAGAAACTTTCTCATTATTCTTCATGTTGAGATTCTCATATTGCTTTCTCAAGGACTGAAGCTTCACCTTCTTCACTGATGCGTCACCACCATAACATCTAACCAGTGTGTCCCACGCAGCCTTTGCTGTCGTTGAATATGCAATCTTCTCAAACACATTTACATCAACACATTAATGAATAAAGAATAATGCTTTCTGATCCTTCTTCCTTACTTCCTTCTGCGCGTTTTTCTGTTCATCTGTTGCATCTGCTGCTACCGGAACATAACCATCAGTGACGAGATCTAAAACATCTTGAGCACCAAACAGTACACGCATTTGGATCATCCAACGATTCCAGTTTTTACCGTCAAATACTGGAAGCTTGGTGTTCATGTTGCCGTTTCCGTTCATCTTCACCTTGCACAATACACTCAATGTTTCTCACACAGTGTTTCCCAACCCACAGAATAAAATTCTGATCAGATTTTGTTCAAGATTCAACACGAATC